GTTTAGCAAGAGGGGGAAAATCCCCAATTTATTACAACCGCCTACAGAGTGGCACTGCCTCCAGAACTTTTCAGGGTCCATAATGTATTTCATGTGTCCATGCTACGCAAGTACAACCCGAATCCCTATCACGTCTTAGTCCACGAACCTCTTTCACTCCAGGAGGATCTGTCCTACGAAGAAGTACTGGTTGATATTGTAGACCGAAAGAGCATATTACTCTGCAATTGAAAAATTTCCTTTGTTAAGATCCTATGGCAAAATCACACACCGAGAGAGACCACACGGAAGCTAGAATCAGACCTCAGAGCTTAATATCCCCAGCTATTTGATTAATAGTGAGAGAGACAAATTTAAGAGACCAAATTTCTTTTAAGGAGAGAGAGTTGTAATACCCAAAGTAATTTTAATATAATTTAAATTAATTTATAAATATAATTTTTTAATTTTAATTTAGTGTAAAAATAAAGAAAATTTAATGGAGGATGAAATTGAAAACAATTTTGGAAAAAAATGGTGAAATTTTGGGTTCTTGAGATATTTTTTAAAGAAAAATTAGAAATTAGGGATCAAAATATAATTTAAAAAAGTTGTGTTACGTAGGATGCTTAGTCAGCAGCCCCGACGAACTAGAACGTGTCGGGTGGTAACGGACGCTAATGAGGTGCCATGCGGGAGGCCATGTGGACGATCCGTGTGCCTGCGATCGAACGACCCAAATTCACTCTCGCACGCACGGACAGCCCAGATGCGTTCATTCCCCCAAGTGCTATCAGACAGTCAGATTTAAACGTGATCAACAGTCTAAATCCATTTCCTATTTAAACACGATCAAACGGTCCAGATCAGATCGCATTGAACAGTCTAGATTCACTCTCTATTTAATCGCGATCGGACGGTCCAGATCAAATGCAATAGACGATCCAGATTAAAAGAGAATGGATATAAATAACTCTCTTCACACTAAACCCTAACCCTAGCCGCCAGACACCCTCGTTGGAAAAGAAAATCCAACCGCTAGGAAAGAGAGCCGCTTCCATCCGCCGCCGTCTCGAAGCCACTTCTGACCGGCAAAAGAGGTAAAAATTTCCTCATTTGCTTAGAATTCAATTTTAAACACCTTATGGTAAAATCTGTAGCAGTCCTGGAAATTTAAAATGGAAATTATATTATGAATATCAAATGCAGAAGCGAAGTCAAAATTTGAATAACATCCCTTACACTAAAACAAAAAACGTGCTCACAAAATATAAAAGATTAAACTACCTAAAAGAGAAACTTGAAAGTAGAAAAAAACTACGAATGTGACTAGGGAGTCTTTAGGCGTCCCCTTCGTCGTCCTCCTGCGGAACCGGCTCAGGAACGATGTCCTCTTGATCTAAAATGATTAAATAAGGAATGAGCTACACTAGCCCAGTAAAGACATCACGATATCTCACCGTCACGGAGGTAAAGGTGGGTAGAAAACACAAAAAGACCAATGGAGCATAATTTACAACAAATCCTTTTATTAATAATAAAACCTTTACCATCCACTTACCTCGGTGGAATTTATAAAATAATATACGAAAGCAATAACATTATCATAATCATGGAATCATATAAACTGTAAACATAACACTTATCACGCCTTTTGTAATTCAATCATTATACAACATATCTTTTCCTCATTTACCAGCCCACTAGTATCCATGGGGATCCATAGGGGTCCCGCTACCCGTTAATCCTTAACACTTGAAATCCATTCCAGGGCCGTCCTCATACCCCGTTCGGTATGGGCGCCAAACCATAGACCTCATTACCCCGTCCGGTATGAGGGTGAAACAGGCCGTCCCCATATCCCATTCGGTATGGGCGCCAAAACACATAAGATCTCCATACCCCGTCCGGTATGGGAGACCATAATCCCGGTAGGGTTCCCTACGGACCCGGTCCGTCCACCATCTCCCAAGATATCTAGTCAGGCTGACCACATTATACCATTACCCATTTACATAATTTTTCATTCTCTTTTTCCTCAGTCAGCATCATTAATCCACATACAAGCAAACAAACAGTAATTTATGCTAAACAGACAACATACAGCATCAATATCCCGGTCATTTAATCCATAATCAATAAAACAGTAAAACATGCACACGAAACTATAAAATGAAAACATCGAACCTCATGCCGCATTTAAAACTGTAAAATAGGCCAAATAACAGTTAACCGACAAATACACTAGACTTTGGCTCCATTAGCGACCTTAAGCAATTTCACACATTCGTTGATTCATGAAATACCGTTTTATCATTTATTGAACTTTAAAACCGTGATAGGAAATAAGGTGAGGGGTCTTACTCGTTTCGGGGTCCGAACACGGCTTCACAGTGCGCTTGCAGGCTGTCCCTAATTTTCCCTGAATTTTCCTCGGGGAACTGAAACGCACTACTGGTACCTGCACGTCTTCCAAAAAAATCCCAAATTAGGCCCAGGGCCCCTTTCGGCCCAAATCGCAACTCCGGCATGGCGGCTCCACTTTGCTCCGGCGTCGGCGCCGCCGCTGGCAGCGGCGATTCGCCTCGGGTTGGCTGTTTTTGGCCGTTTCCGGCCGAATTCGGACACTCTCGCTTCGGTCCCTGCGAGAAAACAACCCTAGGGCCCTCGGGGGGCCAAAAAATCACGGAAAAACAGAGCTTACAAGCGGCGGCGCTCTCGGGTGCGGCGGCTCTCCGGCGAGGTTCGTGTTTTGGTGATTCGGCTCCGGTCAACCTGTAGAGAAAAGAATGGTGATCACGGTGATATAAAAATTGCATCAAATAGAGGCCGGGAAGGTCCTCATTGGAGGCAAAAATCGAGAAGGGGCTCGGCGGCGCCATTGGGCTTCGGCCGTGTATTCTAGCCGTTTGGCCGGGATTTTGGCTCTGATTTGGCCACAGGAGGAATCAGCGTGGAAAAACGAGTCGGGGGTACGAAATTTACCTCGATCGGCGGTCGGAAATTCCTCCGTTGCGGCGGCGGGTGGCAGCGGCCGGCTTCTGGTTCGTCTTCTCCGGCGAGCGGCAGGCGGCTAGGGTTTGTGGTCTGGTGTGGGGTTCTATTTTATACCTTTTGCCCTTTGATCTCCGCCGTCCATTTGGTTTT